AACGAGACAATGTTTTCTGTGGTATTCGTACAGTGTCCAGAGGAGCCCGGTATCACACATAGTGTTTCGCCTTGTCTGACTGTACTGACGTCGATTATACGGGCCTCCTCGAATATGATGCCACCGCGAGTTATCGCGCTAAGAAAGAGAGAGAGAGAGAGAGAGAGAGAGAGAGAGAGAGAGAGAGAGAGAGAGAGAGAGAGGGGGGGAGAGAGAGAGAGAGAGAGAGAGAGAGAGAGAGAGATGGGGAGCGAAAGAGGGTGGAGGTTGGGTAGGCTGCAGATATACGAGGGGTTTTTTTCCTCCGTTATTAAACTTCTCAACATATTTTTTCTTTCAGGTGAGAGTACAATAAGGGGCAGAATTGTTTCATTATCACAGTTAAGCAGCTTGTGCCGCTACCAGTCTACGAAGTAGTTGGTTTCGTAGTTAGTTATTGTGTTTATTTTTATATCTGTGTATGCTTGTCTTCTTCTTCTCGATCGCATCACACTTGAAGTCTGGTATCTGTCATAAATTGGGCGGTCCTGCTCAGTTCATCTGTCGGCCCGTATAGCTTCTCTTGCAGCGTCAGTGGGGTTGGCCACGTTTCCTGTCTCAGGGCCCTGTGTGTCTTGCAGTGCTGAAGGATGTGTTCAACAGTTTGGTCCGCCTCTCCACACTGGCATTTTGGTGATTGTACTAGTTTAAAACATTTGCACATAATATGTTGTCTCAGTCTTGTGTGTTGTGTCCTTAGTCTGAAGATAATCACTTGTTCTTGGCGGGACAGCTCATGGTAGCCATCTCATCTGATGTCTGAGGGACTTTAAATAGTGTATTTATAATAGTTTTTATTTCTGTGTAGTTAACGCTGTTGTCTGGTTGCTCTTTCTGTGCTCCTAGTTTGGCCATCCTGTCTGCCTGCTCATTTCCTAAGACACCACAGTGTGATGGAATCCACTGCAGCATGATCCTCAGACATGGGATGTCCTCAATTTCTTTTCGTAGCCTTGGTAGTTTGCCGGAAGTGATTGCCTGCAGTACTAACATGGCATCTGTTAGGAACACTACTTGGCTTTGGTGGTCTACCACATTCTTGATTATGTTTGCTGCATGTATTAGAGTCTCCGTCTCTGCCCTGTAGTTTGTACAATGTCGCCCTGTTGGGACTGCCTCTGCTTGTCGCCGTCCATTTGAGAATTGTACGTACACTCCGGCTCCTCCTCTTTTCACAGCATCAGTGGCAGATCCGTCTGTATAGATCCTTATCCATGCTTCTCGTGGGTATCTTTGTTCAAGCATGGACAGGGTGAGGGACTTCTTGCTCAGGTCTCTGTGGTCCTCTTTTGTGTTGAACATAGGAATGGACGAGTGTATAATTATGTTTGTGTTTGTCTTTTCCTATGATGGTGCCTCTGGGGTGTGTCTCTCTGTCTTTGTCTCTGTCTGCATGTCTGTCTGCTTGTCTGTCTGTCTGTCTGTCTGTCAGTCAGTCAGTCAGTCAGTCTGTCTGTCTGTCTGTCTGTCTGTCTGTCTGTCTCTCTCTCTCTCTCTCTCTCTCTCTCTCTCTCTCTCTCTCTCTCTCTCTCTCTCTCTCTCTCTCTTTCTCTCTCCCCCTGGAGGTAGGGAGGGGGGAAAGCAGTGAGTATGCTGGTTATGAAATCATTTGAAGGCTGTTTATAATACTATCATTTCACACGTGATCTCTGTAATTTCTGCAAATCTCGAAATCATGATAGCAGAGGTGGTGGATCGCGGAGAACAGGAGATGGGGGGGGGGGTAAAAAGGGAGAGAGAAATTGGGAAACTATGATCCGTTATAAGAGTGATGGGAAGAGAGTCGATAGTAAAAAAAAAAGAAAGAAAAGGGTTATGAACAGACATGTGGATGGAGAAACGAGAGGAACAGAAAGATGGACTGAGGAGCAGGCGTAAAAAGAGTGAAAAACGAAAAATGAAAGAAAAAATATATTGCATGAGGATCGAGAAAGAAGAGAAGGGAAAGTGCATGAAATGAGAGATAAAGACAGACAGAAAGGTGTAAAAAGCGAGCATGCAAGCAGAAAGGGGTATTTTGAGTGACTAGGAGCAGATGGGATAATATTACTCCTACGAGACAATGTGAAAGAAAAAAGAATGAGAGAGAGTGGAAAGAGAGTGGAAAGAGAGAGAGAGAAAGAGAGAGAGAGAGAGAGAGAGAGAGAGAGAGAGAGAGAGAGAGAGAGAGA